CAGATTAGGCTGGGTTGGAGCCATGGAAGGACCACCCGTCCCTTGGTAGTGGCAGCTCTGGAGCAGCTCTGGTTTGGCTGCTATGGTTGGGGGGAGGGGGAGGAGATGTCCCCCTTTGACCGCAGCATGGAGCAGACCTGGCTGGCAATGGGGGAGAAGCAATCCCATTCCAGGCACATCTCATTTTCCTGAGACAACTAAACCCTTACTTTGCTTTAAGTTATAACAAGAGGAAGCTGTATGCCAAATTCGATGGTCCTAGCCTTTACCATTTAGGAGTTCTTGAACAGACAGATGGATGGACGGACGGACAGATGGATGGACGGACGGACAGATGGATGACCGGACAGACAAACGCTCTAAAATATATTCCTGTTGAGAACCAAATGTTGGTACAAGGAAGGGTCACTAGATGGCACTGTTACCAACCTGTTTAACTGAATGTCCTCAGTCATCATGAGGGATACTGAGTTGCTAGTTGTGAGACAATTCTGTTGAGAAGCTGCTGTGCTGTGTACAGTAGTGTGACGGGGCGGGGGCGCCCCGCACTGAGATGACCCGCCCGACCTCGTACGCGGCGGTTCTCGAGGGTCAGGCCGGGAGCCCCGAGCGGGACACGCCGCGAACAGCCACCCGTGCGGCCCTTGAGCGTCCCACCAACCGCTGTGTCAGCTGTTCGGCGGCGGCAGCCTTCTGGCTAGAAATGCTGGAGGATCCCAGGGAGGCGGCCAGGCGGATGACGCCATCGCGTTACTCCGGCCGCCGACGGGAGACGTCACCACGCCACGCCGGGTGGGGCCGCGGCGGCAGAGCAGATCCGGGGGATTTAAACGCCGCCGGCAGGGAAGGAGGGGGAAGCAGGCCGCGAATGGCCTCCCTCCCCGGGGCCGTTAGGTGGAGGGGCCCGAAGCCGAAGGGGTAAGCCTTGCTCAGCAGGGTGAACCGGAGTGGGGAGAGGAAGCAGTCCAGGGCTTCAAAGTAGGAATAAGAGATCCTCCGGAAAAGGGCTTTTTTCCGGAGGATCAGGGCCAGTGTAGACGCTCTTTTCCGGCTTTTCTAAAAGCCGGAAAAAAGCGTCGGACATTTTTATTTAAATGCCGTGGGGGATATTTAAATCCAGGGCGGGCGAAGGGAGCCTGCAGGCTGACGAGTTGCGGCTACGGCCCCGTCAGCCGGACTGGACGAAGGTTCCATCTGAGTCCTTAGGGCCCTGGGCTGGGGTCCGTGAGAGGGGGCGGGCCCGGACCCCCCTCTCCCCACCAGGAGGAAACCGCGCAGCCGACGTTTCGGGGAGACCCGGCAAGTTAATGACCTGATTAGTTGGGACGCACATAGGTGACCGCGAGGAGGGGTTTCAACTAACGACCCCGTGGGTGTTGGGAAGGGGGAGTACCCCGTAACAAAGAGGGAGGGGTACCCCACTACAAGTAGTAAAGTTTGTTCCCTGACATTGCTCCTGACTGGAGGATAACTTCACACATATAAACAAAACACTGTGTGAAGGCAACTTGACTCCTCCTTTGCCAGAAGGGATGCTGCCTGCTTTCCTGACCCACTGAAATGCAAATGCAGCATTAAAGTAAACACTCACATGCTGCACCGTGATTCAGTATTCAGCCTCTTTGTTTTCACACCAGTTTCCTTATACGTTCTTGCAATTCCTGTTGACATTAAGTGGAATTGTGTGCATAGAGCAAGGAGAATAACCTCCTACATCTTCTGTTCACAGCAGTAGCCTGGTAATAAAAAATCCATTGCCTCAATTAAAAGAGGACATCTAAAACCAGGTTTTGTTTTTTAGGTTACTTCTGTGTGGAAGGCTAACAACAGCATTATTAGGGGTCCAGTCCAAAGCTCACTGAAATCAATGGAAGACTGTTATTGATTTTAATGGACTTGAAATCGGACCCCAAGAGAATCTCTGCTAATCATATCAAAACAAATAAGTTGCAAAATGTTTATAGCAATGTGTCGAGGCCCCTGTGGCATTACTGCATTGTCTAGCATAATCAAATCATACATCTACCTCTGTCCTCCTTCCCCCTCCCCTCTTTTTCACTCAGGGCAGAGGGATTAACCAGTCACTTCTTAGGTTGTTTATCTATCCCTTGAGACTGGGAAGCAGTTACAACAGGTAAAATATTTTTAAAGTACTCAGGGCTCTGGCACCAGTCCATCCATTGTCTGCCCTGATAGATTCCTGAAATGCTGTTTGCTTACTAATGTGGAATTGAATGTCACTTCTCCAATGGTCATGGTGAGAAAAAAGATCCAAGGAGTCTGAGTATGCTGGAAGAAATTCCCCCAAATTGTTAACATTTTTTGCATCACAAATTCTTGAAATCCTTTAAATAGGTTGTTTCTTACCCGGGGAGAGGAGAGGGAAGAGAGAGGGGGGAATTCCGCTATACACAAGAAGGAGTAGGTTTTACCAAGGAGTTTCAAAATTCACTAGGGGTATGTCTACACTACAGAGTTAGTTCGAACTAACTTTGATAGGCGCTACACTAGCGCTCCGCTAGTTTGAACTTAATTCGAACTAGCGGAGCGCTTAGTTCGAACTAGGTAAACCTCATTGTACGAGGGCTAATCCTAGTTCGAACTTACTAGTTCGAATTAAGGGCTGTGTAGCCCCTTAATTCGAGCTAGTGGGAGGCTAGCCCTTCCCAGGTTCCCCCTGGTGGCCACTCTGGCCAACACCAGGGAAACTCGTCTGCCCCCGCCCCGGCCCCAGAGCCCTTAAAGGGGCACGGGCTGGCTACAGTGCCCGTGCCAGGTGCAAGCCTGCCAGCACCCAG